ATATTATTAATAGAGACCGATTATTTTATATTTTTAAGATGAATTCATGAATGAAGTCATTAAAATATAATATGATGGTCAATATTTGTATTTTCATATTACATTTCCTCAATTATCAATAAATTAAGAACTGTTTCGACATGTTTATTGAAAATCTTGACGTTGGTGTTGGTTGACAGTTTCTTCGAGGTCCAGATGTTCTTCAATTGTAAATATTCTGCTCTTGTTTTGCCAATCCGCGCCTTCACATCTACATCAGATCCACCGTGTTTATCAATGATGCTACCCAGATATGTAAAGGTTTTTACATCTTCCAAATCTTTTCCGTCAATTGTGATTCGATTGGTGCATGCTGTGTTGTATCGGAGAATCTTGCTTTTCCCTTTGTGTATATTGAGACCTACTGCTGATTGACCCTTATCAAAATGATATGGTTAATAAGTAGCCAGTGGTACAATTAAAAGCACTCAGGACCGGTAATTGCTTTACACTTATTTGCTTATCTAAATGAAGTGTAATTTGATTGATGGTGGTCGGTAGGAAACCCTACTTTACCTACGTTTCGTGCTGGTTTAGATTCGTCAACAAGGTATACCAGTAATACTAATGTAACTAATGTTTTCTTTTGTGGTATTTGAGCCTGCTTCACAAAGGACCAGAGAATGAGATAATGGTACTGAGATTTTTAGGATATTATGGACGTCTGAACGTCTGGAAGGCTGATATTCTTAACGATTACTCGATCACAGAGTAGTGATCAATGTTACGTTTATCAAGTCCTTTTATTGCTTATTGAATTTTATCAATTGATGAAGAGCATAGATATAAACCAAAGTAATTGTAGTTAGGAAACATATCATGACATTTCTTTAAATATTCACAGATAAGTCTTTTGATATAAACCCAACATTTCTTTCCGAAAACTTTGTTAAAATTTTAAATCAGAAAATAACTGACTGTTTTTATTCAAAAGGGTTTTCCATTTAAATCACTGATTGATACAACTGAGTTTATGTTTCACCACATTACTAACGATTTCGGATTATTTCAAACAAACAAAAAACGTATATCGTGAATGTTTGAGTTTAATTAATCCTTTTTTAATACTTTTTAATACTTCAGTGCTAATCCAAGTCTGTTCACATATGTTAAATATGAGATTGGATTATATAAGGTTACAGATTAATGTCAACTAACGAGTGTAAAGAGAAGATTATAATTTTGAATGTACAGTTATGTAGGCGTCCAACAATTGCATAAAAATTCTTACGGCTCAACACAGTTTATGTATTCGTAGTATTGATTTAATTGTACTCAGTTAGCTTAGCAATAAAGTACACAACACACTATTCCGTCAAATCTTAGATACTGACAAACCATAAATCTAATATGAATGAAATCACTTACAAATGGAAAATCGTTACAACTTGATAGTAATTAATTGGACAGTTAGAGTGTTTATGCTAATTTGATCTGATCAACTAATTGTTTAAAATGTAAACATTCATGTCAACTCAAATCTGTACACTTGACTAAACCAACACACGTGAATACCTATGCATGCAGACTACAACGTTGTGTATCAATAAATGGTGAACCTATTCACTTGTCAGGTAGCAGTTAGATTTGTGGAAATAGGACACTCTAGAATCAAGTTATCAGTTTATCTGGTGTTCTGGAATAATTCATACTGACACAGTCAAAGAACATTTGAGTCAGAGATTTATGAACGACTGACACGGTCACAGTTCATAAGTGGTATGAACTACCTTCTAACCGGTTTTTCTCTATCTAGTGATGAGATCGACCAGATTAATTGTAAACTTTCAATTTGCACTTGATTCTATGTCGTCTTCACAATGTAATATATCAATATGCGATTCAGTACTCCTTCCATCACTTTGAAATCTGTAGAGCTTATATGGTTGGTTTCACAGCACAACTGAACGGTGAAACTGTCTATTTCAATTTGTACCACATTTCATCAACACTTTAGTCAATTTCAAGTATACTCACCCTACAACAAATTCATTGATGGTAGATGAGCGAGAGCCGAATTGTCAATCTGGAAGCAATCACACACTTCTCGACAAAATTGTGTTCGTGTACATCCGACTTGAAAAGGATATGGAAGGAGAGTTATTGAACTACAGACTACCGAGTTCTCTGAGAAAGACCTCCATTTCAGTAGAGTTAGTTATCATTTCCTCATGTACGTAAGTGTTTCATTCTAGGAAGTAGGTATATTATAAATCTGCAATTCGATCATCTCAGTGCACAACTACCAGTTTGTCTGATCATTTGGAACAGGTTGTATTGTTTTTCGCAATAGTTTGCTTGTTGAAACGCATACCAAACACCACCACCACCATCACCACCACTATGTTTGACAGTTTCAAACGTGATTCAAATCTATCAACATTTCGATTCGTGAATGTGTGGTCAACTGTAGTCATGTGCCATCACATGAATCAACATTCATGAATGTTGGCAAACTCTAAACAACTGAGTCAAAGAATGTTTGGATTAGAGATTTATGAACATCTGATACGATCGAGATTCATCAATTCAAAGGTGATCTGTGTATATGAAAAAACACATCTGTTCAATCAGTCAGTTTAGCATAGTTTCAATATGCCTTTCAATTTTATAAATCATCAGTTCCAGTTGTTCCGTTTTTCGTCATCTATTTCTACATTTGTCATGTAGAGAATTATATTTTCCGTTTTGTTTCTCAATGATTATTCCCTGAGATTATCATGTAACTTATGTGTAATAACTGTGATTATATTTGATCATTTGTGAATACTTGGTTAAATGAATCCATAATCATTTATTTCATTATCCAGTACTATTATATGCAATAATTTGAATAACTTTAATCTGTGTAAATAATATTGATGAAGGATTTATTTGCTGTTCTGATCTGTTTTCATTTATTCACACCTTATTTTTCTACAATTATGTTCAACAAATAAATTAATGAATAATCCGTGATTAGCTTCCGTTTGAAATCTTACTTTAAAGACTTTTTTTACAGCAAACGAATGATTTACACTTCGTAGATAATAAGTTTTCCTAATACTAATGTTAAACATTACATATATCGTAGCTAACTAATCACCTTATTTATATGATACATGAAATACGAAATTGATGAATTCATTAGATTTCACAATAAATTGATGCATATCTTTGGTAATAGATACACTGATGTCACCATAGTGAATCGATCCATCTATCAAAGCATTATCATATTTACTTTAGAATAATAAAATAGTTAATCAAAAAATTTATTTCTTGGAACACTTAATTTTAGTAGATTTCTACTAGGAACTATTTAAATTGTATTGTTTTTTTTTTAAAGTATATGTTAGATCCTATTGGAATTCTGATGAAGAGCTATACAACTTATTAAGTGATTCAATGAACAGGTTATGTTGATTATCTCTTCAAAACATGTTCTAGAACACCTTATTTCCGGCTACTACAAACTTCATGAATGTGTAGATGCAATTTGTAACTGAGCTACTATAACATTAACAAAATGATGAATTTAAATATACGGTATCTCTGTCAAATATTGTTAAAGATGTTTGATAGACGATATTATCCATTTTAGAAGCATACACTCGGACTCTGATCATACTTAGGCGAGAGCATTTATTTAGTATTGAAGGAACAGTATCATGTGATCTGGATGCCGAGTGTACAGAAAACATCTTTAAATGCTTTTATTTTCTACTATTTACCTGAAGACACTCGAATGAAAATATCACCAAATGAAACTTTAGAGTGATTTACTTTTAATCGTTTAACCTTTCATAAACATAATTTGCATTTTCATTTTCAATAATAGTTTTGGAAAATAAATCTAAAGTCACCTATCTACCCAAACTAAAGTAATTTTTTCCTAATTGATATATGATTGGCTCACAGCCGAATGTTCGGATTTTGTTGTTTAGGTATACTTTTCATTGCATAACGATATAAATCACAGAATATTTTATAATCGGGGATTATTGAACAACTGTTTTTTCTTCCTTTCAGGACTGTTAATGATGACTAAACTATGATTGAAATAACATTTCCAGGTTTTGAGGTGAATGACTACAACAATAGTTTAGTTTTTCTCAATCGTAGCCGCCTCCTTGGTGATGGCAACACTTGCACACCCTAATGACCCAGTTAAGCTATATCATCTAGAACACTTGTTTTCACAATTGATTGATCACTGGGTGGTGATCAATCTCATGCTTGTCTAGTCCTTATTAGTGCAGATCGAATGCTATCGATCATGTTGCAATGTGGCCACCAGTCTAGGTGACTCGACACTGCGGGCACTATGTAATGAGATTAGATGGTGGTTGGAGGTAGTCAACAGGAAACCCTGGACCCGGGTTTCGTGCTACTTGGCACTCGTCAGCAAGGTGTACCTGTAAACTTGAGGGAACTGGTGCTCCCTGGCGGATTCGATCTCGTGTCACCCAGCTTCACAGTCAGAGACGTTACCACTGAGCTATCCGAGCCGTGACTTGTTTCTGGAGTTTCTACTATAGCAAAGGGGTACATTAAAAAAAAAGACCAACGTTAGTAATTCATAGACCGGGAGTGAAATTTTATTACCAACTCTACAGGGGTGCGAAAACATAAAAGTGTTTCGCTTAGACAACTAGCATATACGGCAATAATACCTCCAAACAACCGAAGGAGAGGTTAAAAATATTTCCTCTAAAAATTCTTTAAATTATCTATCCCTATAGATTTCCGTAACCGATGGTTGGGCCTTTACAGTAAGAAGACAAATCATCTGAAACTACTCCATATTCCATATTTTTATCATGACACTCATTAAATTAATATTCATCGAACTATTTCTGAAATACCATCTTGTGAATTTCAACGATTTTAAATAAGTACAGAATAGATTTATAACAAGAAAACAAAATAACCAACAATAATGTGCATACAATAAAGATGTAAGTAAACATAAAACTTACAGCTGCAGCAATTGCTGTCCCATAACCTGATACTGTACATGCGCATACAATCATAGCGATTAAATGAAAACCTGAACATATTGCAATGCATATAAATTCCTAATAAGAGAAAAAACAGTGATAACTTAATTAAGACTGAAATTAATTTCAAAATTAGAACAAAATATGTAAGCGAACAACTTTGTGTCCAGTTAGTTCTTTATCAGGCTTCAGTCTTACATATAGTAGTATTTAGATAGATATGTGAGCAAAGACATCTAAATACTGTTAGAGAAAATACTTTGATCGTCTGACTTTTCAAGGGTTAGTCTTCTAATAGGAAATTCACTTCTTGAGTTAGGATACCCAAATGATTTAGTTTTGTTTGGTGAAGACTCTGACAAAATACGGAGGCTTCTGATCATTAACAGCAACAATGATATCATGTTTGAAGTGTCAAGGTGGCGACAGTGGTTGTACAAACTTCTTTTGGATGCATAGGTTTGGTTTGTGAATATGGATTCCAATGGCTTCAGTAATGTGGAAAAGATGAACTCGAAATCCATGCGGAAAATTTGATAGACTCAAGAAAGAAAGAAGAATAAGACAGCAATTAATGACAGCCGAACAAGAACAGAGAAAGTCAAGGCTCAAGTTGAATACACAGAGGGAAGCACACAAGTGAAGGAGGGCATCGGAGCTGACAAGCAGAAATACGTGGAGAAACTAGCAACGGCAATGGAAAAAGCTGCAAGAGAACGAAACGTGACATAACCATATGACACAATGAAGAAACTGGTAGGGAAATATAGTAAATCACAGAGACCAGTCAAGGATAAAGAATGCAAGACAATCACTGAAATTCAATAATAGGGGAGCAGATGAGTGGAACACTTCGAGAACCTGTTGAATAGACCATTGGATTCACCGAACTTCAAAGCCACACCAACAGGCATTTCTGTAGATGTCACTCCACCAAAGGCGGAAGAAATCAGGATGACCATCAGATAAATGAAGAGCGGGAAAACAGCAGAACCTGACAATATACCAGCTGGAGCATTCAAGTCAGACAAAGACGTAACTACAAACATGCTACAAGTCTTATTCAGGAAGATTTGTGAGGAAGAACAGGTGTTGACGAACTGGAAAAAAGGATACTCCATCATGATACCAAAGAAAGGGGATCTGAGCAGGTGTGAACAACTAGAAAGGCATCACACCTCTGTCAGTACCAGGTAAGTTTTCGACAGTGTTGCTGAACCAGATTAAAGATTCGGTAGACGCCTAATATCGGCATAAGATGCTGGACCTCTTAAGGATCTGTCGTGCACAGACCAAATCGCGACACTACGGATCATCGTTGAACAATCAATTAAATGGAACTACTCACTATACATCAACTTCCTTGGTAACGTGAAAGAATTCGACAGTATGGATAGGTGACCCTTATGAAATCATTTTTGACACTATGGTGTATATGAGAAAATTGTCAACATCATACAGAATTCATACGACATACTACACTACAAACTGTTGCATGGAAGACAGCTGACAAGTGTATTACAAGTGAGGACCTGAGTCAGACAAGGCTGCTTACTTTCCCCATTTCTCTTTCTTCCGGTAGTTAACCGGATGAAGACCTCCACATCTCAGAGAAAGCACGGAATGCCATGGACACGTTGGATGAAACTAGACGATCTGGGGTTTCCAGATGACTTACCCCTTCTATCTTACACACATCAAAAAATGCAGGCCAAGACAGCCCGTGTGAATCTTCAGTACGAATGTCAAGAAAGTTCTACTGTACGGAGTTGAAAATTGGGGAACTACTACAATTATAATCAAAAAGGTTTAAGTAACTATAAACAGTTGTCTACGCAAGACACCCACTAACCGTTGGCCGGATACCATCTGAAACAACCTACTGTGGGATAGGACAAACCAGCTTCCGTATGAGGTGGAGATTAGGAAAATACGATGGAAGTGGATAGGAAATACATTGTGGAGATTAGCAAACTGCATCATGAGGCAACCGTTAACTTTGGATCTTGAAGGTAAATAAATAAGAGGATGGCCAAAGAACATACTACGTCGGGAATTGAAAACAGGGATGAAGAGGATGACTAGTAACTGGAAAGGATGGTCCAGGACAGAGTTGGATTGAGAACGCTGGTGGACGGCCTGTGCTCCTCCATAACGGGTAACAGGCATAAGTAATTAACATATAATGTAGCTAATTAACGAAGTACAGATTTCCATACTCAGACTTCAGTAACACTTTTTTAAGGGCAGTTACATTACCTGGGAGCCCAGACGGAGGCACGTAAAGTGAGATTAAAATTTGCTACCTTAATAAATCAGATTCTATACATTAGTTAACTTCATGTTATCTAGTACGCAACAATCAATGATTTATATCAATACATTGATGAAATTTAATTCCAAGAATTCTAAACGCTAATCTGCTTTAATCTAATTAAAACCACAGCATTCAAAGATTATGTCATCATAATAAGCTACTCATCTTCTAATCAACAGTTACATTGATAACACTTTTTAATTATCGATTCTTAAAATGCCATTCATCATGAAAGTTAAATCTGAATTCCTTTCGTGTTTGTCATACACCTGCTACTATTCACGTATGACATAATAACAAGGGTTTATATCAATTTATCTCTCTCCTGCATTCCTCACTATCTTACAAGTAAATGTTTTTTCTTCTTGGTTACCTAGGTAACTTAAACTCAACTTATTCGTGACTTTTATCACTATCACAACAGTACACATTAATTTACATAGGACTTTGATATCATACATATACAAACATATACACACATATTCTTATAAAGAAAACTGGTGTTTTCATAGTTTTTTTTCCATTTGCATGATTATGTTATTACAAATAGTTTGATTATTTTCTATTGTGTCATAAAATAATTCATTTTCTTCTTTAAAACACACGTGACTTGTTCTTACTCTGTTATATAGTTTTTATGATCACTGGTTATAGACAAATGAATGGACTGGACTTTTATTTGTAATGTTTATTATAGAACAAAAAAAGAATTTTCCTTATATATATTACACTCCTAACAACATTCCATTTAATCTACAAACTTGTAAAATAATGATTATGTCAAGTCAATCCAAATTTATTTCACTGGATTATACTCCTTGAATAACATGTTCAAACCCTTAAATCTTTCCGATTATTGCTTATACTCTTGCTAATTCTATAGCTACAGGATTTGAATCGACGACTACATCTCTTTGCTAATGTGGTATGGCAACTCGAACTGATGTACGAACGTACAAAGTTCTACGTTGGTACTGACTGACTGATTGACTGAGTCAATCCATGCAGGCTACACATATGTCACCGAAAAATAGTTCAGAATTTCGACAAGAATATCAACAAGGGAATAATTCAACCCTAAATTATAACGATCTAACTATCCTATCCAGTGAACAATTTAGTGACTATTTGGATTCACTAATTCAGTGGATAGTATGTGGAGCGTATGGAGCAAAATGTACTGCGCTCGAGTTCCAAAGTAAACATCAACAATGGAATGTCACAGATACATTCAGCTAACAAATCCAAATTAGGAAGAAACAAATGTCCAGGATTACACTGCTAGTCATAATTCATCTACTTTAAATACATACTTGAGGTTTTCTTTTTGCTTCTAGAAATTTTAAATCTTGACAATGAGTCACATGATTTAAAGATGGGGATCTTGTTTATTCAACCACGAGATAATATTAAATAATATGAGAGATGCATAAGTTAAACTGATCAGTTGTACTCGCAGTATTTCTGTTTGTGTTGTTTTAATAATCAAAACATTTTAGTAATACTTTAATCTTTGTGAATTACTGAGGGTTACACTTTAATTTGAAAAACACTTTTTTTTCTATCTGAAAGTGCTAATCATGGAAAATTGTGTTCCGATACCCAAATGTCTATCAGTAAACATTTATGATTTAAAACAATCGTTGGGCGCTATAGTTATCGACAAAAATTGAAAATTATTTTATTTTCAACGATATTACTAAGTAAATTGTTGAAATAACTAAAATTTATTTCAGATGGGGGGGGGAAGAGATTTAATTGTATGAGTTAATAGAGGTTTGTTCCGGCCTATGAACAGTACTTACTTAAACAATAATAATAATAATAATAATAATAATAGTATGAAATCTGTTTTGAATAATGACAGTAGTCCAGTAAAATATCGTACTAAATTCGTCAACGAAATCAATTTTTCATTTGATTTTCAATTATTTTAAAATCATATATACCAATGGCCTGTTTCATGTGTTATTGGCTTCAATATCTCTTTTTTATACCAGAGACGTTATTCAACCTCATATAAATCTAAAGAATATTTGAATTACTGAGCATTAAATTTTACGTGGTTGATTCGCTTATTCAATAACTAATCTGAGTTTTAATAACTTGATTGTAATTCGACCTTTACAGATTTCGCTAATATCAAGACAATTGACGAAAATCAGACGTAGTTTTTTGTTTCTGGTCACTAAATGCCAGCCAATTATTGACCAATTTAATCCCAGCAGTATAGAGTTTTGTAGATTGTTGAGTTTCAATTGATACCATGAATGGATGAATGTTAAATCACTATCGAAAAACTGAAGAAAATAGTTGACAATCGCGCAATATCGTAGATTGGTTAAACTCATACATTAACACCGTTGGATGCCGGCTCAGTGGTTTGGAGTTTAAGCGTTCATGTATGAGACTGAAGGCCCTGGGTTCAAGTCTCGCTTGTGAGATTGTGAATGCGCACCGCTCAAGAGTCCCATGCTAGGACGAAACGGCCGTTCAGTGCTTCCAGGTTATTAATGATAGTCTAACATTTATCCGTTCATTATATCAATTAAAACTCAATTTAAACTTCGTAAAGCTTTAAAAAAAATCTAGATTATCAAAAAATTTGTCCCAAGAAAATACAACACAGTGACGACTATAAATAAAAGTTTTCTTCCAGTAAATTAATCACATTTAATGAATGTAAATTTTGTTTTAAACTATACAATAAGAAATAATAATCTACATCTCCGATTTATAACTTAGTAGATATAGTTTTATT